TGGGAGGGGCTCGCTGTTCCTGGGGTCCTTCCACGGCTGCTCCTCTGGCCCTCCTCGTGCACGCAGGTGCTTTCAGGGCCAGAAAGGCACTCGTCCCTTCAATGGCGTTCCGTAGTTCGGCGGCCCGACTGCACATCCTTTCACCGTTCACATCTTACACGTCGCCGGCATCGGACAGAGCTTCCGACTCGGCGACGTCTTCCAGGGCAAGCGCAGCCACCTCTCGACCCAGACCCCCGACGTCATGAATTTTTCATGACGTCGACCCCCAGAGGTCCGGACCCATTCCCCGGGACCGGTTTTTCGTCCTGAGTCGTTTTTTGACGGTCCCGAGGGCCGGTAAGGGCCCCCAAAGGCCGAAAATCATGAAAAACCTCGCGTCGTGATTTTTTCATAACTCGAGGGGGTCTGGGGAGGCAGTGGCCGGATGGGCCAGGCCCCCTGCGGGAGGCCCAGAGCAGCCCCTCGGGAGCCGCTCCGTCGTCGGGACCTCGCGCGCATATCTCGGAAGCTCTCGAGGGGCGGCACGCCTCCCGCCCCGCGGGGGCGAGCCGCGCTGGGGCGGCAGTCGAACCCCCCCGGGCGATCGACCGCAGCAGATTCCTCGCGCAGTAAGAGCAAAAAAAAAACACAAACCAACACACAGAAAAACACAACAAGACACAAAAAAAGAAGGAGCATGAAAAACATACACAGAAAACGCCCAGACAAATTATTAGATTATGGGGAGGGGAGAGCGAAGTGTTGCTCGTCCAGTCTTGAGCCACAGCGGTGCAGCAGCGCCCTTCGCGGAGACCGGATCCCGAGAGGCGGGGTCGCTCCCTTTTCAGGAGGGAAAAGAACACGCAGACACAATTGATCGTCGACTCTCCAGAAAATTTGGGAAAATACGGGAAGTGGGGGGGAAGACAGAAGCCCAGAAAATATGGGAAAATATGGGGAATCCTCTTTATTTGTGTGTATTTATTTGTGTGTCCTAGGGCCCCTTCACACTTGGGAGCCAGAGCCCGTGGGAGGCGGGCGAAGGACGCGCCGGCCTCCGAGTCGTTCCCATCGCTCCATATGCTCTGAGCTCAGGGGCGACGACAGGGGCGAATAGCCCAGGGGAGAGCCATACATGTACTCGGGGGCGCCGATGATCCATGTCTTCGACGAGGCTCCCGGGCGAATGCGTGTCATGCCCGCCCCTGCGCTGTTCGCCCTCATCGTCGCCGCCGATAGGCTCGCTTCTCTGTGTCGGTCCTGTGTCGCCGCACCGAGTCCCTGACGCACGAGCTGGGTGGCAAGTCTCATTTGCCCGTGGTGTCGAGCTCTCTGTCTCTGCTTCGCTGCAAGTCTGACGACACCCCCCACACACGGAGTGGACGGGGGGGGGCATCCAATTTTGTCCTCCCGCACTCCATTTCTTCCTCCTCCTCCTCCTCCTCGTCATCATCATCCTCCTTCTCCTCCTCGATCGCCCTCATGATTGCGGTAATCCTTGTAATCCTCCTCCTCCCTCACCATCACTCTTCATCCCCCTGTCTCCTCCTCATATCCCCCTCCTCCTGCTCCTCCTTCTCCTCCTCCTCCTCCTCCTCGTCATCATCATCATCATCATCATCATCATCATCATCATCATCATCATCATGATCATCATCATCATCATCATCAGCAGCAGCATCATCATCACCATCACCATCAGCATCAGCATCGCCATCATCCTCATGACTATCATCAGCAGCATCATCATCATGATCATCATCAGCATCATCATGATCATCATCATCATCATCATCATCATCATCACCATCACCATCACCATCACCATCACCATCACCATCACCATCACCATCACCATCACCATCACCATCACCATCATCATCACCATCATCATCATCATCATCATCATCATCATCATCATCTCCCTCCCTCCCTCCCTCCCTCCCTCCCTCCCTCCCTCCCTCCCTCCTTTCCTTCCTCCCTCCCTCCCGCCTCCACTCCCCTCCCTCCCGCCTTCTCCTCCGTAGCGATTTTTGCGCAAGCCACTCCCGCGGTCCCACTCTTCACGAGTTGTATTCCGATGCCCCCATTCAGTTATGATAATACATTTGTTCCTCCCATGGCGTTGTAGGTTTACATTATCGTTAGACTGGGCCACGTGTAACAATTCTTGCACTGACAGTGCGTGATGCCCCTCAGCCTTGCTCAGCCTTGCTCAGCCTTGCAGTGGCGGTGCTTAATGTTCAGGGAAAATGTTAGGCTCTCGGTTCGGTCGTCCCCTGCATTTGGGGATGAGTGCCAAGCCAGCCGTCGTCCCAGTGATCAGCGAGTGGGTCTGGCCCGACGTTGTGTGGGGTGGGCCCTGTCCTGGATAGATCTCATGTCATCGAAGATGCCTGTGGCGAATCACCGCCGCCTCCTGCATTTAGGAAACGCTCATGCGGCCAAATAGCCGTCTTGCGGGCCTCTCTGGGCCGACTTGGGGCCCTCTTGAGGCGCGTCAGGGCTGTCTTGGAGATCATTTTGGGCGTCTTGGGGATCCTCTTGGGCCGTCTCGGGGCCGTCTTTGGCCTGTCGTGGGGGCTTCTTGGGCCGTTCGGGGACCATCTCGGAGGCCTCTTGGGCGCTCTTGGGGCCATCTTGGTGGCCTCTGGAGCCGTCTTGGGCCGTCGGACAGCCGTCACGGAGCAAACGCCCAGATCAGTCAAACACCAGAAGGGAACATCAATGAATCTGGCCTCTTTCGGCCTGCCAGGAGATCCTCGTGGACAGGCCGCCTTGGAGGCCTGCCGGGCAGCATGGAGCGATCTTGAAGCCATCTCTTGGAGACCTCTTGGCGGCCCCTTGGCCTGCGGAGGCCGCCTTGGCCCATCCCTGGGCAGTCACGAGTCCCTCTTGGGGCGCTTCAGGTCCGTCTTGGAGGTCTCTGGGGCCGTCTTGTAGCCATCTCGTAGGGGACGAGAGGCAAACCATGTGTTTGTCAAGACTTCTTGTCGAAGACGTTCAGACTGCTGTCGGAAATGCCCAGTGCCCCCTTCTACACCTAGAAGTGTCTTGAAACCACAGTTCGAAAAGTTCGGTCAGGACCTCTTGGGCTGCCTTGGGGCCATCTTGGGCCGGCTTGCGGGCCTCTTAGAGGGCCTCTTGGGCGGTCGTGTGGCGATGTTGGTGGCCTGTGGGCCCGTCGTGGAGCGTCGGAAGCCCCAAGGGGAGCGTTTTGGGCCAAGAGGAGAGAACGTTGACATCATGGAAGCGCACAAGGGAAATCAGTGGTTTGGGCCTCCTGGAAGTCGGACCTTTTGAAAACCAGGGAAACCAATGATTTGGGCCCCCTGGAGGCCCCACTGGGGCCAATTGGGGACCTCTAGAAAGCCTCTTGGCACTATCTTGGTCCTCGGCGGCAGTCTTGGGCCCTCCCTGGGCAGTCAAGAGATCTAGGGCAGTCCTGGAGGTTTCCATGGCCGTCTTGGGGCCCTCTTGGTGGCCTCTTGGGCTGCCTTGGGGCCCTCCTGGGCTGTCTTGGGCCTCTTGGGCTGTCTTGGGTTGTCGTGGGCCCTCCCTTGGCAGTCAAGAGATCCGTTCAGGGCTCTTTAGGGTGGTCTTGGAGGTTTGTTTCTAGGGTTCAGTCGGGCCTGTCCCTCTACAGGGGGAATATTCAAAAATGGTAAAACAAATAGTCTGGGGATGATTTGTTTTTAGTATGTTTTGACAAGTTTGGCTTATTTTTTCTGACTATTTTGCATTTTTCGTCAGACATCCCCCTGTAGGGGGACAGGCCCGACTTAATTCTAGGGCCGTCTTGGGGGCCTCTTGGGGGCTCTTGGGCTGTCTTGGGGCCCTCCTGGGCCGTGCTGCGGGCCTCCCAGGGGCCCCTGGGGCCGTCTTGAGGTGATCTTGGAAGCCCCCCTGAAGGCGAGAACGCGAACATCCTGGAAACACCTCGGGAATATCAGGGAGACTGGCCTGCTGGAGGTCCTCCCGGAGCCACTTTTGGGCGTCTGCAGGGCTTCTCTGGACGTCTGGAGGACACCTTGGGCCCTTTCGGGGCCCTTTTGGCTGTCTTGGAGGCGCCCTGGAACCGTCCTGGAGTCTGGCATGCTGGATGTCCTCTCGGAGCCACTTTTTGGCGTCTGAAGGGCTTCTCTGGACGTCTGGAGGACACCTTGGGCCCTTTCGGGGCCCTTTTGGCTGTCTTGGAGGCGCCCTGGAACCGTCCTGGAGTCTGGCCTGCTGGAGGTCCTCTCGGAGCCACTTTTGGGCGTCTGAAGGGTCTCTCTGGACGTCTGGAGGACATCTTGGGCCCTTTCGGGGCCCCTGTGGTCGTCTTGGAGGCGCCCTGGGGCCGTCCTGGAGGCCGTCCTGGAGGCATCTCGTGGCGGCATCCCCGCGGCATTCCGGCGGCATCGTGGGCCGTGTTGTGGCCGTCTTGGGGCGATGTGTTCTGGACGCTGGGGTCCCTGCGCGCCCTTCCGAGTGGCCTGCAGTGAAGACGAGGGCGGTGAAGCAACTCCAGGCGAAGCTTGCCTTCAAGGCCACCGCCGCCAAATCGTCGGGCGCCACGCCAGCGATGAAGAGGCCAGCTGCTGCCACGATGGGCGTTCCCGACTGCCCTTTCGGGGACCCTGATGCGTTTCAGACCCTTGTGCCGCCCACGAAGAAGCCTGCTGCCGCCGAGCGGGCTCGGGCCGAAGATCCTGTACAACTTCAAGAAGAAGCGGGGGCGGACAGCACCCCCAACAGTGGCACGTCGATGAGTGCATTGTCCGTTCTCGGTTCTCGAGAGGGCGCCGTGGCCGTCATTTTCCAGGCTCGCGCCCGCCAGATTTGGGCCTCGGGTCGTTTTCACGAACCCACGTTTTGCTAAAGGGGGGTCTGTCCATCCCCGAAAGAACAAGAGCCAACGAACACCCGGGCCGGAGCGCAGGCGACTTGCCAGGTTGAGCGGCAGCCCCGACGCGCTCACCGAAGGTCCGGCTCTTGCTGCGCGGGCCTTGCGCCGCCCACGAAGAAGCCTGCTGCCGCCGAGCGGGCTCGGGCCGAAGATCCTGTACAACTTCAAGAAGAGCAAGAGCCAACGGGGTGTGCCAGAATGGGGGGTGGAACCGCATGCGGGCGCAGCCACTGGGGCCTTCGGTGGAGCTCCCTATGGGGCCACGAAACGTGTGAGGGGTGTGCCAGAATGGGCGTGGGAGGGGGAGGAGGGGGAAGGAAGGGGAGGAGGAGGAAGGAGGAGGAGGAGGAAGGAACGCGGGGCGACGTCTCTTCAAAACGAGGACCCAACACCACAGGATGGTTGGGAACAAGAACCAACGACCATCCGGGCCGGAGCGCAGGCGAATTTGCCCGGTCAAGCGGCAGTCCCGACGCGCCCACCGAAGGTCCGGGGCTCCTGCTGCGCGACCGCCCGACGGCGGCCCGTGCACAGGGACGACGGGAGGGGTAACGGAGGGCAAGAGCGACAGGGCGACCGGGCCTGAACAGCTCCTGGTGGACCTTGCGAGGCACGCGTCAGGCAAAGGATAGCGACGATGGCCCTCCCCAAGATCTCGCGGAAAAGAGCAGCAAGTCATAACTGTCCTCCGCCTCCTCCGGAGCGGCAAAGCAGTGCAGCTGCAAACTTCTGCCGCCGCCTACGTTGGCACCACGTCCTACGGTGGCAAAGGCGGGCATGCGCCAGGAGTGTGCACCAGCTACGCAGAGATGCCTCGCGCTGCTGCGCTCTTGCGGCGCGATCGTTCGTCGCTCCTCGAGCTCGAGCGGGGCCGGAGAATTCGACTTGGGCGCGGGGCACCTGCAAGTTGTGGCTGGACAACAGGTTGCGGTCGCCCTGGTTGCCCCATGCACTTAGATGGTTTTGAGCTCCAAGTTGATCCAGTTTGTGGTGTCACCCAGACGCATCACATGTCCATGAACGGTGAAATCACAAATGGGTGCTCTTCCAGCAGAACGGGGGAGATTTGCTGAAGACCACGGAGGCCAACCATGCCTTTCCCACCATACACTTTGAGAGGCAAGTGTCTTCTGCACTTGGAAGAAGCAGCGAGCGTCGCGCGAAGGGAACGAGACAGGAGCGAGAGAGAGAGGGAGGGAGAGCGAGAGCGAGAGAGAGAGAGAGAAGGAGGAGGTGGAGAAAGAGAGAGTGAGAGAGAGAGAGCACTCAAACGCAAACACACACACAAACAAACAAACAAACAAACAAACAAACAAACAAACAACACCCACTCAAACGCACGCACGCAAGCATAACTGTACTACTCGCTCTGCCCTCCCTCCACAGCCCATGCGACTTCGCAGCGACTGCGCCCTGCAATCCGATCCGTGGACTGACTTGTCACTGCCCTCTGCTCAGCCCGCGCTGGGGCAAGCTGCCGATGTCCAGTTGGGACGCGCTCCTCACCCGACTCCGAGGCAGAGCTCCTCCCCTCCCTCCCTCCCTCTCTCCCCCTTCTCCTCCTCCTCCTCATCCCCAGGGCCCCAGAGAAAAAAGGGCGGCTTCCAGAGTCAGGGACGCATCCGTACCCATGGGGGGCTGGGAGAGAGCGACCGAGACGGAGCACGGACGGCACAAAGGGAAAGAGCCAGGCTGCCTCGCCATGGTGCGCGCACCCTGCCGGCATGGACGCATGAGGCGGCACGCGTCGGGGCGCGCTGCACGTCGGGGCGCGGCGGTGCGCTCCAGCCTGGGCGAAGGTGTGGGGGGAACAGGAAGCGGAGGAGGAGCGCGGGGGGGGGGTCAGCCGCTCGTCCCATCACTGCTCGCGCCTCTGCCTGCATGTCCCCCTTGCTGCGCCTCCTGCGCCTCAACCGCTTCCGCAACAGCCTGATGATCCTCGTGCCGCTCCTCTTGCTCCTGAAGACGTGATTCGCTGTTCTCGCCCTCCCTCGTCCTCATATCTCCTCCTCTGCCTCTGCCCCCTCCTCCTCCGTCTCCTCCTCATCCTCATCCTCATCCTCCTGGTCCTTGTCCTCCTTTTCCTCCTCCTCCTCCTCCGTCTCCTCCTCATCCTCATCCTCATCCTCATCCTCCTGGTCCTTGTCCTCCTCCTCCTCCTCCTCCTCTTCCCTTATCGCCCCTCGGATTCTTCTTCCTCCTCATCTTCCTCGTCCTCCTCTCCCCATCCCCCCCCCCCAGCCGAGGAGATTGAGCAGGGCGACCAGCAGCTGCGGAAGCTGGCCGAGGAGCGCCGCCAGGCCCTCTCGGCCGGCGCGCCCCCCCCCCCCCCGACAGCGTCGAAACCAAGCGTTCAAAAGCGTTCCCCCCCCCCCCCCCCGTCAGCGTCGGGGAGGAGCCCCCCCCCCCCCCCCCCGAAAGCGTCGACCAAGCGTTCCCCCCCACCCCCACCCCACTGTAGGAGTGCCGGGACGGTCGGTCCCTGCTCAAGCGAGGGGGGCCCGCGGAGGCTGTCGGGGGCCGCCGCCTCGAAGAGGTGGGCTGCTGGCGCCCTCCCCGCCGCGCCCGCGGAGAGCCCCTGCCCGTCGAGCAGGGGCGGAGCATCCCGGCTTGCCAGGAGGCCCACCGACGAACGCTCTGGGAACCCGTTGTGGTCCGCACGAAATTCGGACCGAACGACAGGGGGGGATAAGGAAGGGGGGGGGTCCGAAATCTGCTGCATGCAGCTGGTTTCGGCCCCGCCGCCGGGCTCATTCCTCGGTACATGGGCGCCTCCCGGCGCTGGGAGGCTAACGGGAAAATCAGCTACGTGAGCTGATTCTCGAATCCCCCTTTGCTATTCCCCCCTTTCGCTCGGGCCGAGAAATGCTCTTCGAACTTTTCTGGCCGAGACTGTCCTGTTTTCCTGCATCGATCTGTGTTATGGGAGTATTGATTGTGTTATTCGAACGGTTTACGTTCCAAGGACATGGTTTTCGTTTTTCGGATTTGTTGGGGGTTCTGAGGACATGTCGTGGTAGGCCGACAGGGATGCTGGGGCGGTCGGTCCCTGTTCAGCTCTTGCCGCCCGTAAGAGGGCGGTTCCAGTCGGAGGGTTCCGACCGATCTTCCGTTCTTTCTGTCGTGGCCCCCCGCTTGCTCATGGAGTGGCCAGGCGCGCTGCAGATCGCCGAGGTCAGTCGTGCGTTTGGGGGGCCTTCCTGCGGTCCACTCCACGCCACTCCTGGGGGCCACTCCACGGCCACTCCACGAATGAAGATGATGAAGAAGCATACAGTCGACCCGCAGAGTAAGGATAGGCATCCCTCCAAAGGGTGCCCTTGCATCCTTGCTTCCTGGGTCCATCCTTGGCCACTTTGGTTGGCCGCGCCCCGCTCGAAGAGCTTCGAAATGGGCGCCCGAGGGCCTTGCATCCTGATTGCGCATCCTTACTCTGCAGGTTGACTGCATTCAGAGACATGATCACACGAGGAAGAGCATGCAGACCAAGAAACATCGGCCACGTGCAGAAAGGGGGAGTACGGGGGAAGGGGGGGGCTTCTTGGAAGCACCCCTGCTTCTCAGGAGGTGCAGGCCTGATCTATAGACGTGAGGCCCGCGCCTTCCAAGAAGCAGCCTCCTTCTGAGAAGCCTCCCCCTCACCCTACCAGCTTGTGCGCGCCGCCAAAAGAAGAAGATGATGATGGTGATGATGATGATGATGATGATGATGATGATGATGATGCTGATGCTGATGCTGATGCTGATGCTGATGCTGATGCTGATGCTGCTGATGATGATAATGCTGATGATGATGATAATAATGATGCTGCTGATGATGATGATGATGACGATGGTGATGATGATGGTGATGCTGATGATGGCGATGATGATGAGGATGCTGATGATGATGCTGATGATGACGATGATGCTGATTATGATGATGACGATGATGATGATGATGATGATGATGATGATGGTGATGATGATGATGGTGGTGATGATGATGATGATGGTGGTGATGATGATGATGATGATGGTGGTGATGATGATGATGATGATGATGATGATGATGATGATGATGATGATGATGACTCGCTCCAGGACGCTCTCGGAGCGCTCGGGAGCGCTCCGAACGGCCGCGGCGTCCGCTACGTCCCCCAGACCCGCCAGCCCTCGGAGACTCCCAAAGCTACCCCGGGGCGGCCAAAGGGGGGGGGGGGGGGGATGACGGTAGGGTCGGACCTCACGGCCCGGGCCAGGACATTTGCCCAGATGTCGTGGCCCCCTCTCTCTTTTCAGTGCGACGGGGGCGTTCGTTGAGGCATGTGTCCGGGAGGCTCCAGACCCTGGAGGATTCCTTCGCTGGTGAGGTCGGCGGTGATTTCCGTAGCCAAGCCTCAGCTGGTCTTCCACTGCTTTCCAGACCATGGCTTCCTCACCCAATGGTTCCTTATCCAATGCCCCCACCGACCCCAGGGGCGGCGCGGGGCGCGGAGTTAATTTGCGCTCCCCTGGCGGGTCCCCGCCGTGCGCCGCGGGGCGCGGTGTAAGACCTGTGTTGGTCCGCTGCTGCGCTGAGCGCGGGAACAGCGGGCCCCGGGACGTCGAGCCGTGGTTTGAGGGCTCGTCCCTGGGGGCCCCGCCCGCACCTCTTCTGCATGACATTCAAATCACGGGTGGGTCCGCTCACCCTCGAAGAGTATCTGTTCTTACACATATTTATGTATATATATATATAGAGAGAGAGGAGAAAAAGAAACAAAAAAAAAAACCCGCCGTGGGTTGCTTGCCCCCCCCCCCGTGGGCTGCGCACGCGCCGAGGGCCACGACCTGCGACCCCTCCCCCTCTCGGACGCCCCCCCCGCCCCCCCCCCGTGGGAGCCCGACGTCCACCGCACGATGCGATGCTTAAATCCGCGGCCCCGGAGCTCCCGAGCCCTTCCCACGGGGGTTACGTCGGGCCCGGGAGTTTGGACGAAAAGTTGAAAATGCCCCAACAATACCGCACGTCGACAAAATGTTGCACCTTTTCTGCCGCGCATTGTCAGCTATATTGCATTGCTCCTCCCCCCCCCCTCCCCCTGATTTTAATATTGGGAACATGGCAAAGGTCCATTGGCGCCCCCCCCAGAGCTCGCGACAGAATGTTGCACCATCGAGCCGTTTCGATGAACCCGGGACCGCAGCCAATGTTAAGATTGGGGGGAGGGGGGGGGAAGCGGACATCCATTGCAAAATCGGCTTGCTTTCTTGACAAGACCAGGTGGTGCAACATTTTGTCGATGTACCGTACCCCAACATGGTCAAACAATATTCAACACACTCAACAAAAAATGATCTGGGGACGATTTGTTGAGTATTTTTTGACCATTCGGGGGTATTTGTGGGGTAATTTTTATTTTTTCGTCCACAATCCCCCTGTAGGGGAGCAGGCCCGAACAAACCCTGGGGGTCTGCGTCGCGGCTCTGGTGGTTTGATGGCCCGAGTCCCGCCCCGGAAACGGCCGGGCCGTTCATTTTCCACCGTTCCCGAAACGGTACCTCTTGGAAATGGAAGCAGCAAAAAACAAACGGCGACCGGAAACGGAAACATCACGGGGTTAATTTCCAGGCTTTGGGCTTGTTGGCGTATGAAATGATGCTGGAAGAAACGGCAGAAGAATTCTACGACATGGACCGTTCCTACAGCGGAAGATCTTCTCGCACGGACTGCTGGGACCATCTGAAACACATCAGGCCCGTTATTCGTGTAGGTGTGAACGCCTTGCACTACGCCGAGAGAAAGATGATGATGATGATGATGATGATGATGATGATGATGATGATGATGATGATGATGATGACGATGATGATGATGATGGTGATGGTGATGGTGATGGTGATGATGATGATGATGATGGTGGTGGTGGTGGTGGTGGTGATGATGATGATGATGGTGGTGGTGGTGGTGGTGGTGATGATGATGATGACGATGACGATGACGATGACGATGATGATGCTGCTGCTGCTGCTGATGATGATGATGAGGAGGAGGATGCTGATGATGCTGATGATGAGGAGGAGGATGAAGATGATGATGATGCTGATGCTGATGCTCTTGCTGATGCTGATGCTGATGCTGCTGCTATTGCTGACTGGTGGTGATGGTGGTGGTGATGGCTGGAGACGAGAAGGAGAAGGAGGGCGCGCGCCACGACGACGGCCACTGCGTCCTCCTGGCCGTCGCCTGACACCGCAGCTGGGCCGCGTGGGCGGAGACCCCCCCCCTGGGCGGAGAGGCCATCGCCAGCGGGCCCGTCGCGCCTTGGGGCGGCGGGGCGGGCCCGGCCGGCCTGCCCCGCGCGAGGCGGAGGAGGCCGCGGCGGCGCTGTCGGAGAGGCGGCCGCGCAGCGCGCGAGCGTCGTCGTCGTCGTCGTCGTCGTCGTCGTCGTCGTCGTCGTCGTCGTCGTCGTCGTCGTCGTCGTCGTCGTCGTCGGGGGTCAACGCAAACGGGGGTCGGTGGAGGAAAAGGTACCCATACCGCCACCTTCCCTCGTGTTCGCCATTTTGGGCCTCGAGGGAGGCCCTCGTCGCTACCGCTCTGGAGTCGCCTCGACATTATCTGGTCAGGACGCGCCCCGGTGGAGAGGTCCGGGGAGGAGCGGTATCGGTGCCTGCTGGTTTCCCCAGGGGGAGGGGCGCGGAGAGGCACGGCGAGGAGGAGGCGGCGGCGGAGCTCTGCAGGAACACGAGTTTTGACCTGTGTGAAAATCGAACACCAGAAATTCAGCTCAGGTGCCTAGAATGCGCTATATCAGCGGTGCAATCGCACGGTGCGGGGGGCTCTGGCGTGCCACAGCTATCCCAGAACGGAGATATCCCTGGGGCTGGGCCGCGCTTCAGCACTCGACAAAACTAAACTATCTAGGAGGCCGCCAGTCTCTGAGGCGGGTTCAGGGAACGAAACGGAACCCAACAAAAAAAGTTCTCAAAGCACAAGACGTAACGCCAGGGAAACAATTACTGGGCCCCAGGACGGCTCCGAGACCCATGTATCAAACGATACACCGCGTCATCAAGTGCAGTGGAGGAGGAGAGGCGAGGACGAGGACGGCTCGACGACGTCACCGACAACGGAGCGGAGGGAGGGGGTCGGGAGGGGCTAGGGTCTCCGCGTAAACGTGCGGGGTCCCCTGCAACTCCAGCTCGAGCGAGACGACGGCGCGGCCGCTGTTGAGGCTCACTCCCCACTCTCGAGCCTCTCTCTGTGCCTCCGACCTGTCCACTGTCCCGCCTCGAGCTCGCTTCCAGACTCTTCATCACCATCGTCGGAGATTCTCGAGGCTGTCCAGCGTCAGCCGCAGACGCCGCCCCTGATGACTCTTGGGCGGGGTGCCCTGCTTGATGGAGGCGCCGCACTGCACCATCACGGCCAGCACCTCTGCCCAGATCCCCGTCTGGCTGGCCTCGGGGAGGATCTTCATGACTGACCTGTTGCGCGTGTCGCTCACCCTGCAATACTCCACCTGGCTCGCGAGCGCATCGTTGGTGAGCGTCTGGTCCGCTCTGATGCCGTCCGTGTACTGTCGTATCTTTACAGCCGTCTGTGCACCCATTTTTTTGTGGAAGAGGTGCGCTCTCGACCCGAGGATCAAAAAGTGCACCCACTTTGTCTCCCATCTGCTGCAGTGCACCCACCAAAGCCAGCCACAAGTGAGGGCGCGGTGCTCCCAACTTGTCGAGCTCCTCTGCGACGCGGCCCTCGCTGATCTCCTGGCGGTGCTGCTGGCGGAGGCGAGTCGCCTCCTGGACGAAGTAGTGGCCCGTGAGCTTCATCCTCGTGCACACCTCGTGGTCCGCCTTCAGGTGCGCAACTGAGAAGACCGCCGACTCCAGGGCTGCCGTGATCTGCGCATTCTCCAGCACCGCGCGGATCACCGTCGGCATGATTGCGTGCATCAGCTCCACTGGCATGGGTGCCGCTAGCAGCCTGACAGCGTCTCCACGTCGCAGCCCGTACGTCGATGCTGCATTCTCGAATCTACTCGACAGCGTCTGGCCTATCTGCCCCCGAGGCTGCGGCTGCTGCTGCTGCTGCTGAGGCTGCGGCGGCTGCTGCCGCGGCTGCTGAGGCTGCCGCGGGGCGCCTGCCCCTGCCGCTCCCGCCGCCGCGGCCGCCACGCCTGCCACTCCGAGGCTCCCCGCGGCCGCGGCCGCGGCCGCTCCCCGCTGGCCTGGCCGGGCGGGCTGCGAGCGGGGTGCGTGCAGGGCTCGGCCCTGCTGCCTGCCCCCGCCTCCTCGGCGCCGCCTCGGCGCCGCCTCGCGAGGTGCAAGGCGCGGGGCCTCGCTCGGAGGCGTCCACGCCGAGGGCGCGCTTGGCCGGGTCCGCCCCACGCGTCCGATGCAAGGTCTGGGGCAGGCGGGGCGCGTACGTCTCTGACTTGTCGCTGGAGCTCAGCAGGAGTCTCGACAGGTGCGGTGTGCTCCGAGGCACAGGCGGCACGTCACGAACCCAAGACCTGCAGACGCCGAGTCCAAATCGATGCAGGACGGGCAAGGGAGGTCCATGGGGGCCTCGACTGCAGGGGCACACGGGCTCTGGAGGAGGAGGAGGAGGAGGAGGAGGAGGAGGAGGAGGAGGAGTAGGAGGAGGAGGGGTAGGAGGAGGAGCAGGAGGGGGAGGAGGAGGGGGAGGAGGGGGGAAGGAGGAGGGGAGGAGGGCAGGAGCAGGGGGAGGAGGAGGAGAGGCGTGATGCTGCGGCCGCGGAGCGCGCCCCCCCGCCGCCGCCCCCCCGCCCCCCCCCCTGGCGCCTGAGGGCGTGCGCTCGGGGTGGGGAGGTTGGCATCTCGTCCTCGACGACAGCCGGCGGGAGGCTGGCGGAGAGCGGCTCTGCCGGTGGAGGGCGGCGGAAGTGGACGTCGCCCGACGAGCTTCCTCTGCGCTTTGTGTCCGACTCCGCCACCGCGATCGGCAACCCGATGAAACGGTTTCAGGTTGCGATGCCACGCCACGCAAGCGATCCGTTCTGGCGTCGGATACGACTCTGAGCTCGCACGGAAGCCAAGATGTTACGGAGAGCCTCTAGCCGACGCTTGAGCCAAAATGGCTACGGACACGTGGGGGGGAAGGGAAGGGTGAGAGGAGGGATGAAGAAGGATGATGAGGAGAAGGACGAGGAGACCTCTTGACAGTTTCTTGGGTAATTTGTGAGGCCTATTTGGAGCTTTCTGGGGGCACCTTCGAGGCCTCTTGGGGGCCTTGAGCCTCTTGGGGAGGGGAACAGGTATCGCCCCCGCTGAGTTCCCTTGTAAAACAACGATACGCGGGGAAATCTTTTGTTCTAACATACGACTTTTTCACGAATCCCTTGAAAATCATTGGACGAAGTGCACACGCGCGCGCCGTCGCGCGCGCATGCCGAAATCCTTCAAAAACCATCGGTGACGGAAGGATTTTGCAATCGAGTTTCCCAAACAACATACATAAACACTCTTTTGCCGTCTTACGGCGTTCCTGGTTCGTCAGACTTCGTCTTGGGAGCTTCTATGGGCCATCTTCGGGCCGTCTTGGGGCGCTTCAGGGTCGTCCTGAAGGCCACCTTGGGCGTCTTGGAGGCCTCATGGGCCGTCTTGGAGCACTTTGGGCCTCTTGGGCCGTCATGGGGCCATCTTGGAGGCCTCTTGGGCCATCTTCGGGCGATCTTGGGCCGTCTTAGGCCGTCGGAAGGCCCATACGAAGTAAATACCAGAATCTTTCAACCATTCAAGGAACATGAATTGTTCGAATCTTCGGGCCTTCATCGAGGACATCTTGGACGCCTATCGGGCCGTCTTGGAGGCCTCTTGGGGGCCTCTTGGGCCGTCTGGGACCACCTTGTTAGGCCGTTTTGGGAGCATCTCAAGCCGTCTTGCGTGCATTTTGGGACAATATTTGGCTCGGTTGGGGACAGGTTGGCAGTCTTGGAGGCCATCTTGGCCGTCTTGAAGGCCGGTTTGGGCCATCCTGTTGCGGGGAAGGCATTGACCCGGGGAGTTTGATGAGTTTTGTTGGGTGGCCGGCGGGCTGAGCCGAAGTTTCGGGGGGACTTCTTGTTAGAACAGAACAAAAAACACCAGACGCTTAGCCTCAAGTCGCGCATGTCCCTCTACAGGAGGAATATGCAACAATAGTCTGGGGACGATGTTTCTAAGATTTCCCAACCATCCTGTGGTGTTGGGTCCTCGTTTTGAAGAGACGGTGCCCCGCGTTCCTCCTCTCCTCCTCCTCCCTCCTCCCCCTCCTTGTCTCTGCCCTCCGCATGTCTCTCTGTCGGCACACCCCTCAAAGGTTTCGTGGCCCCATAGGGAGCTCCACCTAAGGTCCCACTGGCGGAGCTCGCATGGCATCCCCACCCCATTTTGGCACACCCCTCACACGCTTCGTGGCCCCATAGGGAGCTCAACCTAAGCTCCCAGTGGCGGAGCTCGCATGGCATCCCCGCCCCATTTTGGCGCACCCCTCACACGCTTCGTGGCCCCATGGGGAGGTCCACAGAAGGTCCCAGTGGCGGAGCTCGCATGGCATCGTCGCCCCATTTTGGCACGCCCTTCACACATTTCGTGGCCCCATAAGGAGTTCCACCTAAGGTCCCAGTGGCGGAACTCGCAGGACGGCGCCGCACCATTTTGGTACACCTCTCAAACGCTTCGCGACCCCATAGGGAGCTCTACCTAAGGTCCCAGTGGCGGAACTCGCATGGCGGCCTCGCCCCATTTTGGTACACCCCTCACACGCTTCGTGGCCCCACAGGGAGCTCCACATAAGGGCCCAGTGGAAGAGTCCGCATGCGTCCGCCACCACCCAGCACAGCCCTTGCTCCCTGCGTTTCACCCACCCAGTACAGCGTTTCGTGGTCCCATAGGGGGCTCCACCGAAGGTCCCAGTGGCACCGCCCGCATGCGTCCGCCACCACGCAGCACAGCCTTTGCTCCCTGCATTTCACCCACCCAGTACAGCGTTTCGTGGCCCCATAGGGAGCGCCACCGAAGAAGATATTCACAATTGCGGCACTCGCAACTGCATATGGTTGGGTCCTTCGCCAGGCTAATTTTGATTACGTTTGAATAAGTTTTTGACATGTTGCATCTTTCTTCCAAAATCTGTCTGTGGGAAGACATGCCCGACTTAAGTTTAGCACGCCAGGCACCCCTGAGGCAAGCCACAGGTGGCGGCGGATCGAGTGGCTTTCGGCCCATCCCGCCACGCTTTAACACGAAGTAGTGTGGATGTCTCTTGTGGCTACTTCGGGGCCTCTTGGTGCTTTCCGGCAGGTTCCCGTGTTTGGGGCCTCTTAGGAGTTTCCGGGTCCCATCTGGGAGGCCCCTGTAAGGCGGGCTTCTGGCGTGTTGTGTGGCTTTGGTGGCCGCACTTAAGGCCAAAGGGTCGATCACGCGAACATCATACAAAAACGCCAAGGTTGTTCAATGATGTTGGATGTTTGGGGCCCGCCCCCAGGGCCTCCAAGACGACCCCAGAGTCCACCAAGAGAGCCCCAGGACGATCTCTCTGAGCATGGCATCGCTGAGACGTGTGCTTTCTTCCCCCGGCGAGGACCATCGAGGAGCATCTTGGGTGGTCATTTGGGGGGGAACAAAAAGGCACGAAGTCGAAACATTCACGGGAATGGACGTTCTAGCGATGGCATGTTAGGCCTATTGAGATTCCCTAGGTTCTTATGAGACAATGTTCGGGACGCTCTTTGGGGATACAAATTTGGTTTAGTCGAGTTTGGCTTCTCCGTAGCCCACGCGACAATCGCCCAGGAGCGTTTGGAAATTCCAGCAAATTTGCGACCTAGGCCTTTAGAGGACCTTTCGATGCCCCTACCACCCAAACATGTACGAGCCTTCGGGCAAGTCACTACGTACTGAAGGCAGGGAGCAGATCTAGTGGCCTTCGGCCCATCTCGCTACTGTGCCTGGGTTGTGGGCAAGTCCTCTTAGATGTCTCTTAGATGTCTCTTAGGATGTTTTGGGCCCCTTTGGCACTTCTTGTGCCTGGCTTAAGCGCCTCCTGGGGGCCTATGAGAAACCTCTTGTGGCTTCGTGAGCGACTCCGGGGTTCTCTTGTCGGTCTCTGGCAAAACCTTGGCACTGGACTGCTCCTAAGGGCAATTCGTTTTTCCCGACTGGGGCTGGATGGCTTCCTATCAACATGTATGGTGTTTCAGTGAGCGTTGGTTTCCAGAAGAATCACGCGACAAGCCGCAGGACAGAAATCAGCGCCCTGATGTCGTTTAAGCTATTCACTGTCCAATGAAGGTAAACCCGACCGTGGGGGGACGAGGACATTCCACATATTACACTCAGTACCTACGGCGTGGTGACAGATTATTTGCATACAACAGAAAGTGTGAAGCAGATTTCGCTTCGAGACAAAAAGGGCACGAAGCAGGATGGGCAGAAATAGATGCACTTTGTTTGTCCGAGCAGTGATCTGGTGTGTGCTGTTCAGAAGCACTGGCTATAGGTCACCATGACGAACACCGAATGGATCGATTGGTCAGCAAGAGTAGCTTGATAACGGTCACCAGACGTACACAATGAACCAGACCATGCGGGTTTTCCAACCGCACATGCTTCCAACGTATATGTCCATTTGTGTGTAGACGTGATTCATCGAATTGCCTTCGGGCGCTTTAAGACATGATCCATATGTGTTTTAGACGTGATCCGTATGTATTGAAGACGTGCTTGATTCGTGGATCGGAGGCTACTTGAAAGCTTCTTATGGACCTTTCGGAGGCCTTGTGGAGGAATGCTAGACCCTCTAGCCGTATCGGAACATCTTGAGGCCCATTAGGGGCTCTCTTGCACCGTCTTGGGGCCGTCTTGGGTCATGTTGATTCCTCTGGAGGCCATCTTGTGGACCTCTGTTGGCCCCTTTGGGTTATGGAGGCCCCCTTCCGGTAAGTATTTGAGCTCTCCGAAGCTATCTTGGAGCCATGTTGGCCGAGATGCTAGGCACGCCTAGTCGATTCGATAGCCGTTTGGAGTCTCTCTTGATGTGTCCTCGAGCCTCTCATGAGGGATTTGTGGGCCTCTAGGGATCCCTCGGGGCCTCCTGGAACCTCCTGATAGCCTACTTGCTCTTTTTGAGCGCTTCTTGGAAACTCTTCGGAAAGGCTCATGCGGCACACCCCAGGAGCGCCTGGCAGCGCCTAGGAAATCTGGCAACCTGGGGGTCGGGACCCTGAAACATTATACAGGCTTCCTGGCACTCACACGTGTATGAGCCCAGGGACACCCCATTACGTGTTTAAGGCGCGGTGGTGGGTTGTCACTTACGGTATCGTGTAGATCCATCTGGCACTCACACATGTCTGAGTGTTGAGGCACTGCACCACGTGCTGGAGGCACGATGGCGGGTTGTGACTTATGGGATCCTGTGAGCGGCACCCCATGAGCGAGACCGTGCAGCGCAGAGCAGATCCCGGGTACGTGTGCACTTCCTGGGCGGGACCCTCTGGGAGGGAACGCATGGCACCAACACATCATAGGCAGCCGTGCCCGGACTTCAAGGAACAAGCCATAACTTTTCTGATGAGGCCTCGGGTTGCGCACAGACAGGTAGTCCCGGCTGGCCTCACCAGGCCCCCCGAGTAGTCCCAGCTGGCCTCAGCAGCTCCCCCGAGTGGCCCAGGGCGGTCTCAGCACCCCAGCCCTGGGCCGCCTCCGGCGCCCCAGGGGTGGCGCCGGAGGCGGCGCCAGGGTGTTGGGACTGCCCCGAACCATCGGAGGTTGATAGACCTCCTACCCTGACACGTCGACTAGCGAAGTGGCCGTTTTCGGTTCGCGAGAGGGCGTCGCGAACGTCATTTTTGCGGGTCCAGGTTCGTCGGTTTCGGTCCTAGGCCGTTTTCACTACAGAGAGGTTTACTAAAGGGAGGTTTGTCCACCGCCGAAACTATTTCGGGATCCTGTGGAGGCCAGCTGGGACCCGTCGGGGGGCCTGAGGCCAGCCAGGACTCCTGCGGAGGGTTGCTTGTGCGCACCCCGAAGTCTCACCCAGGGGAAATCGGGAAGGAATAAAACACACAGACAGAATTCATCGGCGACTCCCAGGAAAATATAATTTTAAAAAACATAAGAAAATATTGCAAGTGAGGGGGAAGACGAAAACCAAGAAAATATTGGAAAAGATATGCGTCCTGGGATTCGTGTCTATTTATTTGTGTGTCCCTGCGGCCCTTTTAGTGAAGCACTGTCTCAGGAAGTGCATCTCAACGTGCATGTCTGCTGTAGTCATCGCCCCCTTTGGGCTGCAGCTGCGCGGCCTCCCCAGAGGCACAGCGACATGAAGCTCCTCCAGGACCGCGCGCGTCCCCATATCGCTCGAGGGTCACACACTTTCTGCCATCGCTTCTCCTCTGCCTTGTGATCGTTTTCTCAGTCATTGTTTTGCCGATCGGCGCGGGCCCTTGTATCCCCCCCTCCCCCCCGTGGAGTTGATCTTGGCTGCTTTTAGCGCCTGTTTCGAGCAGGTGGAGCCTCCGCCAGAGGACGCACTGCTGTAAGCAGTCGCACTAAGCAGAGGTCGGGAGCCAGACCCCCCCTCCTCCCCCCTTTCCGCCAAATGTCGAAACGCCGGATAAGGAAACGTTGGCCTTCCCTTCTGTTTGATGCAATTCAAGCTTATTCAATTGCCCCAAGATGTTGGGCAGACAACGCATCCCCACTGTTGTTTGGAACTTGGTCGCTTTGACGCAGAGTCGGCAAGGTTCGAATCCTGCGAGGTGACAGTAGCGGGAGGCCTGTGGTAGGAAGCAGTGGACAACATGAGCATCAGTGGGTCAGAGTGGGGCACGAGACGGCCTTGGAAGGCGAGAGCTGCTGCCAAAAGCGGCCCATGAGGACCGCGCAGGCGTATTGCGAGATGGGGACGGGGAGGATGAGGATATTCTGCCGCGTCTAGCCCGGGGCCCCCCCGAAGGGCCTTGCAGGTCGCGATGGGCTCTGAGAGGGGTATCCCAAGCGGCCCCAGGGGTATCCAAAGAAGGTCCCAGAGGCGGGAATAAAAAACATGAAACGTCTAAGAGAGGCTTCGTCACAGAAGCCGTCTTGTTCCCGGCCATCCCGTGGTGTTGGGTATTCGTTTCGAAGAGACAGTGCCCCGCGTCATTCTTTCCCGCTGCCCCCATCCCCTTCCTGCAATCCCTGCCGCTTGCATCATCCTCCTCCTCCTCCTCCTCCTCCTCCTCCTTCTCCTTCTCCTCCCCCTCCTCCTCCGTCTCCTCTCCTCATCATCATCATTCTCCTCCTCCTCCTCCTCCTCCTCCTCCTCCTCCTCCTCCTCATCTTCCGCTTCCTCCTCCTCCTCCTCCTCTTTCTCCTCCTCCTCCTCCTCCTCCTCCTCCCTCTCCTCCCCCTTGCCATCGTCACCATCATCAGCATGCTCTCTCTTATTCTCCCCCTTGCGCGAGTCTGGGCTTCTGCAGGTTCTCGGCCCAAAGCTTGCCCCTTGCTCCCCCTCCGCGCCGCGACCGGGGCTCCAAGGGTCTGCGGTGCCACCGCCGCGCAGGTCGGTCGCTCGACGTCCTGTTCTCGGGCCGTTTTCCACTCGCGGCTTCAGGTTCGGTCGGGGCTGCCCTTGTGCTCCGTCCGCGTCGAGCCAGCGTCGTGGCCGACCGTCCGCACCAGGCGGCGGTCGTCTGGGCAGGAGGGCCTCGCGCCCCTCTGCCTGTCGTGGCCTTTGGCCCCTGCTCGCCCCGTCTTCTCCCCGCAATCTCGGCGGGCGGGGCAGGCAGCGGCCCGCGCCACTGCCTGACGCGCGCGCGGGCACCGCCAGCCCGCGGGGGCGTGTCCCGAGGAGCCGTGGGATCGGCGGGCCCCTCGCGCTCATGGCTGTGAATCGGCCCTCGGGTTGCCCCAGCCCTTCGGGCAGGTGGCCCTTGGCGCCGACCTCTGCTACGCGCAGCTCCTGCGCTCGCCCCCCGAGAGTTTCAGCCGCCGCGACGGAGACGCCCCTCGCGCCGCGCCCGCGGCTTGAGCCTCCCCGCAGCGCGGGCAAGCCGCCGCGAAGAGCGGAGCGCCCACCTCCGATGCGCCGCGCGTCTGTTCTCCGCGCATCCCAATCTGGCGGCGGCCGCCTGACACCGCGCAACGGAGCCGACGGCGCGAAGGCAACTGCGCTCGGGATGGAGGGGCCGGAATGGGTGGACCCTTCCCCCTGTAATCCCTCCCTTCCCGTCGCTGCTTCGCCTTGGCTCGCCAGCGTCGTCGTGCGACGCAGCTCCCGCGCGGGCATCGCCGACCCTTCGGCTTCATCTGATGCTGCGTTTGCCCCGTCGCTTGGCACGGTGCGCCCCCGCGATGCAGCGGCTGCGTCGCCTGCAGGCGAGGGGCCCCCCGACACCCCCATGCCGTTGGCGCAGGGCGGTCCAGCGATGCTGTTTCGGCCCCGCAGGGATTTGCGCGCGTTGCGGCAAGGTCGGTCGACCATGTGCCTCCTCGCGAGCGTCCGCGGCATGCCCGCGCGGCGTGGCTGCAGGCATCGCGGCAGCTCTGGGCACCCCGCCGCGGGGCAGCCCCAAGGCTTCCCCGACTTCGCGCGCCAGCTACCGGCCCCCTCCACGGATGGAGCCGCCGGTGCAGCCGCGAGCCTTGCGGACGGGCCCGCCGCCGGGGTGTAAGAGGTCTTGCTTTGCGGGTTGCTGCCTTCCGGCTCAGCCTGCGAGGTGTCTTTTCCGATCACCGAGCAGGTGGGGCCTTAGTGGGCCCCGGAAACGGCAGGGCCGTTTTTCACCGTTTCCGAAAAAGTGTCCCTTGAAAATGGAAACGGCAAAAAAACGGCGACCGGAAACGGCAACAAAAACGGCTCCAGGATTGGAGCCGGTAGAAAAACGGCGTCGGAACCGGCAAACAAACGGCAAACCGGAACCGGTAAAAAAACGGCCCTCTCGTTTCCAGGGCCCTTTGAGGGTGGGGCCGCCTCCAGGTCTCGCTGGTCTGGAGGCTTGCGCTTCGCCTCGCGCCCTGCTCAGCCCTGCGCCCGATTGCTCCGCCAGGCAGCCGCTGCCCTGTGACGTCGGGCGGTCTTGACCGCCCCCCTTTTTCTTGCCGAGATGGGGGCGGGCGAGCGAGCGCGTGCCGCGCGCGGCTCCTGCGCCTCCGACCGCCCTTCCTGATGGCGGTCCATGGCGTGAGTCTCCAGCCCACTGGGATTTGGGTTCGCCGCCTGCCTCCTGCACAGGTTAAAATGGTGGCGATCCACCGCGCGCCTTGGCGGCGGGCGGAGCGGCTCTCCGCGGATTGGAAGGGGGTCGGCGCGCGCCCATCCAGCGATGCTGCAGCGGCCCCGCAGGGGTGGGTCCGTAGCGCACCCTGAAGCCGCCGCTCCGGCTCATCAGCCTGGCACTCCGCCGCGCGCTCGCGGCCTGCTGCAGTCCCTCGGGTTCTGGGCGCGCCTCCGCCGAGCTCTGTTCCCGGGTTGGCGCACTCCGGCTCGTCGGCTCCTGCCTCTTATCCCTATCCCTAAGATTGACACGCCAAAAGGCGATGACCATCTTTAGGGATGCGCCCTCAAAAAATAGGGGAATCCCTGAGATTGGCATCGTGATGGGATAGGTATAGGGATATGTACCAGGCTGGTTTTCGTCGGCTCCTGCTGCGAGCGCGCGGGCCGGTGCGCGTGGCGTGACTCGCTCGAGTTCTCGGGATCCGCCTCGGCCGCTCGGGGCGCGCGGGGGGGGCCCTCCCGCACTCCCACCGGGCTCATTACGTTGCATCTTCGGGGGACCTCGCCTGTCTTCAAAATTGGTGTCTTTTCTTTTGCCCGAGGCGGGCTCGATGCGGCCTCGACGCGGATTTGGCGTGGACTCGACGCGGATTCGACACGGATTCGACACGGATCCGACGAGGCCGGCATGGATTCGATACGGATTCGACGCGGATAGGGCCGCGACGGGACAGATACGATTCAGGAGGGAAAGAAACACACAGACACAATTCATCGTCGATTCCCAGGAAAATATGGGAAAATATGGGAAGTGGGGGAGAAAGACAAAAAACCCGAAAATATAAGAAAATATGGGAAATTATTGTATTTGTGTGTATTTGTGTGTGTGTGTGTGTGTATGTGTGTGTGTTTGTGTGTGTGTGTGTTTGTGTGTTTGTGTGTTTGTGTGTTTGTGTGTTTGTGTGTTTGTGTGTTTGTGTGTTTGTGTGTTTGTGTGTTTGTGTGTTTGTGTGTTTGTTTGTTTGTGTGTTTGTGTGTTTGTGTGTTGTGTGTTGTGTGTTGTGTGTGTTGTGTGTGTGTGTTGTGTGTGTGTATGTGGTGTGTGGTGTGTGTGGTGTGTGTGGTGTGTGTGGTGTGTGTGTGTGGTGTGTGTGGTGGTGTGTGTGGTGTGTGTGGTGTGTGTGGTGTGTGTGGTGTGTGTGGTGTGTGTGGTGTGTGTGTGTGTGTGTGTGTGTCATGTGTGGTGTGTGTGTGTGTGGTGTGTGTGTGTGTGTGTGTGTGTGTGTGTGTGTGTGTGTGTGTGTGTGTGTGTGTGTGTGTGTGTGTGTGTGTGTGTGTGTGTGTGTGTGTGTGTGTGTGTGTGTGTGTGTGTGTGTGTGTGTGTGTGTGTGTGTGTGTGTGTGTGTGTGTGTGTGTGTGTGTGTCGTGGGGCCCCTTCAAAGGTCCCCCGACGATGCCACAGAAGGCTCAGACTGCCGTGGCCCGCCCGCGGGGCCCTATCGCTGCGGCCCTGCAGCGGAGGACTGCCCCTTGCCTCGCGCGCACGCCCCGCGCCTCTGCCGGCCGCGAGTGCGGCCGCGGCCGCGGCGCCCCCCCCCTCCCTTGGGGTTCGCGCCGAGCCGAGCCCAGACCCCCTCGAGTTATGAAAAAATCACGACGCGAGGTTTTTCATGATTTTCGGCCTCTCGGGGCCCTTACCGGCCCTCGGGACCGTCAAAAAACGGGGAATGGGGAATGGGTCCAGACCTCTGGGGGTCGACGTCATGAAAAATTCATGACGTCGGGGGTCTGGGAGCTGAGGCCCGCCTCGAGGCGCCGGCGTTGGTCGCCGACGCGGCGGCGCGCGGAGGCATCCCCCAAGACGATCTTCGGGTAGATATCACTATCGAAAAGCATTCATGCGGGATCGGGTATCTGCAGGACCCCAGGTAAAGGGGACGCGGTGAGTGGTAGGGCCCCAGAGCCTTCGAATTGGCCAGAAGCACTAGACCAGGTTTGCCATATAGCTGGTGTTTTGTTTCGGGTGGCGGCAGCTCCGGTTAGCGGAGATGGGACGGGGGGGCGCTCCCGGTACAGATCACTGAACCGGGTGCCACTGAACCCAGTTCGGCCAACGCCCCACCCTGGGGTTCGTGCCGAGCCGAGCTGAGGCCCGCCTCGAGGCGCCGGCGCTGGTCGCCGACGCGGCGGCGCGCGGAGGCATCCCCCAAGACGATCTTCGGTCAGAGCCCCGAATCATCAGGGGTAACTCGGGTCAGGGCTAACTCAAATTCGTTTTTCGAAAATCCGAACCCGACTTACCCCGGACCCGAGTTACCCCGGATAACTCGGGCGTCCAGAGCCCCGAATCATCAGGGGTAACTCGGGTCAGGGCTAACTCGGGTTCCTTTTTCGGGAATCCAAACCCGAGTTGCCCCGGACCCGAGTTACCCCGGATAACTCGGGCGCCCAATTCGGTAGATATCACTACCAAAAAACACTCAGGCGGGATCGGGTGTCAAGAGTCACCTCGACACATGCTGCCGGTTTTCTTAGCTCAGCTCGAGCTGCAGAGGAGCTAGAGAGCAGTTCGGCACAGCATCGAACGAAAATCATCAGGAGCGCTAGTCTCAAGTATCTGGATCCCTGCGACGCTCGCCCAGTCGCCTCCCCCGCCGCAGCGGGCTCACGGCCGCGCAGCTATGCGCCGGCTTCGGCTCCGGTGGCGGCTCTCGGGGGAGACAGGGCGGGCCCGGGAGCGCCCGCACAGCGTTTCCCCGCCACCCAATCGGGCCCCTTGCGCCGATCCCTGCCCCCCCGGGGACTCTCGGGCCCGGCGGGGTCGGCGGCTTCGCGGGGGGGGGGGGGGGCCTCGCGGGGGCAGGGCCTCGCCCGAGCAGCACCTCCGAGTCCATGTCGGATTGGCGCTTCTGTGTCTGCGGTGGTCCCTCCAGCGGTCAGGGCCGTCATGGGGGGCGTCGCGCCCTCTGTTGGGGAACGCCCAGCGACCACCCCCACTGCACGGCCCATCCAGGGGCCCAGGGGGGGCAAGTGCCTTTCAAAAGCCCCACACAAAAGGCCGCGGGGCCCGATGGGGGGAGCGGGCGCCTTGTGCGCGCGGTTGCCGAGGAGAGGAGTCGAGACGAGTCGATCAAGTCGACGACGTCGCGGACGCTAAGCGTGCCTGGGCTGAGCGTGGTCGCGACCGTACAGTACCGTTTTTAATACATGTTCCGCGTGCGGAGCATGTATTAAAAATGCAGGGATTAAAACATCGACGAGTTCATGCATAAGTTTATGCATAAATTAATCATGTATTGCAAATCCGATGTTTTTTCACATTTTTTTGTACCTTAAAAATTGCCCTGTAGGAATGTGCTACTTCAGCGATGCTGTTACGGCCCCGCAGGGAGATGCGCGTTCAGCGGTGGTGACTCTCGCTTCCCTTCTGGCCCCCATCAGGCTCCGCCAGGGCACTCGGGCCCCCCTTGCCCGAGCGGCACGGGCGCTGGGCTGCCGCCCCGCGCCGGGGCCGCGTCTCCAGCTGCTGCCCAGGTCGCGCCCGCTGCCGCTGACCTGTCTTGCCTCGCTGGGCCACTGCGCCGGCCCAGCGTGGGCCTCGGGCGCTCCGTGCTCTCTGGTTCCTTCCTCCCGCCACTCACTCCGCTCGCCGGCTCAGGGCTCGGGGCTGTGGGCCCCGTGCGGGGCGTGATCGGAGGAGGGGGAGGAGGAGGAGGAGGAGGAGGACGAGGAGGAGGAGGAGGAGGAGGAGGAGGATGTCAGGTGTTCTCTACCTCACGCGTGCCAAAGGGCTCGAAGGCACCCGACGGTTTTTTTTGTCTGGTGCGTCGTGTGCCCAGCTTCTCGTTGTTTTGCGAGGGGACAGGCCGCCCGGGCGCCTGCCCTCTTTGTGCATGCAGCGGCGCTCCTCCCAGTGCCTCGCGGCACGGCGGCGGGCTCCCAAGAAAACACACCTAACAAAAACCGCGCGCCGGCTCAGGGTGCTCCTGCTTCGGAGGGAGCATGTCCCCCGCGATCCTCGGCCGTGCCCTCCGGCCCCCGCGCTGGAGAGCCTCTCCCTACTGCGCTTGCGTCGGGTCGGTCTCGGGAGCGCTGGCGGCTGAAGCGCGCCGCGCGCATGCCGGCGCAACGCGCTGCGGTTGCGCTCAATCGGCCGACCTTGGGAAAGCCTAGCCTCGCGCCCGCCGAGGCTTGCGTGATCGCAACGGTCTCACCCTGCCACGGGGGCGCGCGCAGCCGCATCGAGCGGCTTTGCATGATCGCAGTTCGCCTTGCCCGCGGCGGCAAGAGCGACTTGGGGCGGATGTTCGCTCAGTTCGATTCTTCCGAGGTCTCGTTCAGACATCCCCAGGACGAAAGTTTTTTCCTCTTGGGCCCAGAGCGAAGGTTTGAAGTCTTAAGCAGACGCGTGTGAGATACCCGCCGTCGGATCCAATGAAGTTCGCGCGGATCCGATGTTGGTTTTGGTGTGTGTTTCGGTGGATCCGATTTCTGTCCGCGCGGATCCGATTTCGGATTTGCTGGATCCGTGTTCGGTCTTATTTTTTACGGCGGATCCGATTTCTACCCTGTTTTAAATTTATATTGTTACATTCAAGCAGGGAGCCGGAAGAGATCGGATCCGCGGATCCCGCAAACCGCCCGTGTTAAGATTCTACGGGGGATGGGGGGTTCGGTAATTAACTTTCCACGATGGGCGCTGCGTCGTCTCGCGTACTCCCATCAGCTCCCCGCGCGAGCGGGCCCCATTCAAAATGAACACGTACATCCCAGTTACCCCGGTTGCTGCAAAGAGTTCGTCTGGTCGCCGTCCGTTCCGGCGCCGACGTTGTCTCGCGAACTCCTCATGGCCATTTTCACCTCAAGAGGAAAATCTTTCGTCCTGCGTAAGTGCGTTTCGGCCCTGCGTCTCCTGACCCAACGGACGTTTGTTGTTTGTGAGGACGTCTCGAGCAGGAACTCCTGACTGCACGTTGCGGGGACTTTGTGGTGAGGTGTGGTGCGTGGACAACGTGGTAACCAACATGTCCGAAGGCCAAAACGCTGCGTTTCGGCCCTGCGTCTCCTGACCCAATGGACGTTTTTTGTTTGTGAGGACGTCTCGAGCAGGAACTCCTGACTGCACGTTGCGGGGACTTTGTGGTGAGGTGTGGTGCGTGGACAACGTGGCAACCAACATGTCCGAAGGCCAAAACGCTCATCCCCAGGACGAAAGTTTTTTCCTCTTGGGCCCAGAGCGAAGGTTTGAAGTCTTAAGCAGACGCGTGTGAGATACCCGCCGTCGGATCCAATGAAGTTCGCGCGGATCCGATGTTGGTTTTGGTGTGTGTTTCGATGGATCCGATTTCTGTCCGCGCGGATCCGATTTCGGATTTGCTGGATCCGTGTTCGGTCTTATTTTTCACGGCGGATCCGATTTCTACCCTGTTTTAAATTTATATTGTTAAATTCAAGCAGGGAGCCGGAAGAGATCGGATCCGCGGATCCCGCAAACCGCCCGTGTTAAGATTCTACGGGGGATGGGGGGTTCGGTAATTAACTTTCCACGATGGGCGCTGCGTCGTCTCGCGTACTCCCATCAGCTCCCCGCGCGAGCGGGCCCCATTCAAAATGAACACGTACATCCCAGTTACCCCGGTTGCTGCAAAGAGTTCGTCTGGTCGCCGTCCGTTCCGGCGCCGACGTTGTCTCGCGAACTCTTCATGGCCATTTCCACCTCAAGAGGAAAATCTTCCGTCCTGCGTAAGTGCGTTTCGGCCCTGCGTCTCCTGACCCAACGGACGTTTTTTGTTTGTGAGGACGTCTCGAGCAGGAACTCCTGACTGCACGTTGCGGGGACTTTGTGGTGAGGTGTGGTGCGTGGACAACGTGGCAACCAACATGTCCGAAGGCCAAAGCGCTCATCGGCGCTGCGTCGTCTCGCGTACTCCCATCAGCTCCCCGCGCGAGCGGGCCCCATTCAAAATGAACACGTACATCCCAGTTACCCCGGTTGCTGCAAAGAGTTCGTCTGGTCGCCGTCCGTTCCGGCGCCGACGTTGTCTCGCGAACTCCTCATGGCCATTTTCACCTCAAGAGGAAAATCTTTCGTCCTGCGTAAGTGTTGCACGTTGCGGGGACTTTGTGGTGAGGTGTGGTGCGTGGACAACGTGGCAACCAGCATGTGCGAAGGCCAAAACGCTCATCCCCAGGACGAAAGTTTTTCCCTCTTGGGCCCAGAGCGAAGGTTTGAAGTCTTAAGCAGACGCGTGTGAGATACCCGCCGTCGGATCCAATGAAGTTCGCGCGGATCCGATGTTGGTTTTGGTGTGTGTTTCGGTGGATCCGATTTCTGTCCGCGCGGATCCGATTTCGGATTTGCTGGATCCGTGTTCGGTCTTATTTTTTACGGCGGATCCGATTTCTACTCTGTTTTAAATTTGTATTGTTAAATTAAACAGGGAACCGGAAGAAATCGGATCCGCGGATCCCGCAAACCGCCCGTGTTAAGATTCTACGGGGGATGGGGGGTTCGGTAATTAATTTTCCACGATGGGCGCTGCGTCGTCTCGCGTACTCCCATCAGCTCCCCGCGCGAGCGGGCCCCATTCAAAATGAACACGTACATCCCAGTTACCCCGGTTGCTGCAAAGAGTTCGTCTGGTCGCCGTCCGTTCCGGCGCCGACGTTGTCTCGCGAACTCCTCATGGCCATTTTCACCTCAAGAGGAAAATCTTTCGTCCTGCGTAAGGATTGCCTGGCCGCCCATGTTGCAGTTGTGGAGGCCCCCTTCCTCTCTCCCTCCGCCGTGCCTGCCCCCATGCGGCAATGCCCGCGCAGCACGCCCGTTGCTGGCTCGCTGGCTTTGCGGCGGCCTGAGACTCCACCCGCGCCAAACCTTTTGACCTCAAAGTCAAGGTTGCCCGCATCAAATTGGATCATTCGCTTACGCTTGATCCCACCCCGTACCTCTCAGACGCCAGGGCCCGCCATGCCTTCCTGGACCCTGAGGGCATGTGCCTTCCGCGAGGAGAGTGGCTACGGGGCGCTGCATCGACCCCCGATCGCACATTCATCGCCGACGAGGGCCCGATCGCACAAACCCGCCCAGGAACGCGCCGATTCGCGGCTGGGGGCCTGTCGCCGATCGTTCGGCGATGCATCGGCGATTCCGGCTTGGCGCTGCCCCTCCCCGAGCCAGTCACTCCCCGACGGCACCCCCGACCTCGTCCCAGGGGGCGGAGAAGGGCAGGGCAGCCTGAGCCCAGTGCAGCCTGGCTCCTCCTCCTCCTCCTCCTCCTCGTCCTCCTCCTCCTTGTCCTCCTCCTCCTCCTCGTCCTCCTCCTCCTCGTCCTCCTCCTCCTCCTGCTCCTCCTCCTCCTGCTCCTCCTCCTCCTCCTCCTCCTTCTCCTCCTCCTCCTCCTCCCTTTCCTCCTCCTCCTCCTCCTCCTCCTCCTCTCTCAGTGCGTGCCCCACGTGGCCCCTCTGCGCTTCTAGAGCGGGGCAGCACCGAAGAGGCAAACGCCAGCAGCCTCTTCAGCGCGAGCTGCCCCGCTGCATTCGAAGGAGAAGGACAGACTGCGTATAAGCATGAACGTTCGACGGTCCGCGTGGAGTTCCTGGATCCGCGCTGGCCCCCCTGGGCGGCGCCTGTGGCGCCGGCCCTGGCCCTAGGCCTCCTAGATGGGGTCGGAGCAGATGAGGTCGGGGGTTCGCGCAGTCTCGCCGATGCATCGGCGATGCAGCTCGATGTGGAGCCAATTTTCTCCACGCTGGTTTCGCCGATGCATCGCCGATGTCGCCGGTGCATCGCCGATGCATCGCCGATGCATTGGCGATGCATCGGCGATGCGGCGCGATCCTCCGACGCCACCCACTATAGGACCCCATCCGGGAGGCCTCCGACGGGGGCAGATGGGGTGTCCGGCGCGGATCCGAGAAGTCCACGCGGACCTCCGAACCCAGACCCCCGACGTCATGAATTTTTCATGACGTCGACCCCCAGAGGTCCAGACCCATTCCCCGGGACCGGTTTTTCGTCCTGAGTCGTTTTTTGACAGTCCCAAGGGCCGGTAAGGGCCCCCAAAGGCCGAAAATCATGAAAAACCTCGCGTCGTGGTTTTTTCATAACTCGAGGGGGTCTGGGAAAGCGCATGCTTTTTGGTCGCTCTCCTTCCCCTTGGCGCGGATGCGGCCGGCCGCCCCGCCGCCCCGCTGGCGCGGGCCCCCCCGGGTGCAGCGATGCGGCCGGCAGAGCCGCAGCCGCCGCGGAGGGACGCCGGAGGCCGGCCGCTGGCCGCGCCGTCTGTGCCCCTCTCGCCGCCAGGGGGGGGGGGAAGCCTTAGGAGGGAAAAAGCACGCAGACACAATTGATCGTCGATTCCCCAGGCAAATCTGCGAAAAGGGGGGGGACCCGCGGACCCCCTCGCGCTGTGAAAAAAAAGTCACGACGGGCAGTTTTTGATTCTGTTCGGCTTCCCTCATGGAGGGGACAAAACACGCAGACACAAGTAATCGTCGATTCCCGAGGAAAATCTGCGAAAATATGGGAAGTGGGGGGGGGGGACCCAGACCCCCTCGCGCTGTGAAAAAAAAGTCACGACGGGCAGGTTTTGATTCTGTTCGGCTTCCCTCACGAGGGGAAAAAGCACGCAGACACAAGTAATCGTCGATTCCCTAGGAAAATCTGCGAAAATATGGGAAGTGGGGGGGGGGACCCAGACCCCCTCGCGCTGTGAAAAAAAAGTCACGACGGGCAGGTTTTGATTCTGTTCGGCTTCCCTCAGGAGGGGAAAAAGCACGCAGACACAAGTAATCGTCGATTCCCCAGGAAAATATGGGAAAATATGGGAAGTGGGGGGGAAGACAAAAACCCAGAACATATTGGAAAAGATGGGGGATCTTTTTATTTCTGTGTATTTATCTGTGTGTCCCAGGGCCCCTTCAAACCCAGACCCCCTCGCGCTGTGAACAGAATCACGACGGGCAGTTTTTGATTCTGTTCGGCTTCCAGGGGCCCTCGCCGGGCCTCGGGACCGTCACAGGAAACGATACAGGACGAGAAACCGGTCTCGGGGAAGGGGTCCAGATCTCTGGGGGTCGACGTTGGGGAAAAACAGCGGCGTCGGGGTCTGGGAACGGGTCCTGAGGGTTCTCGCAGTTTTTGGGCTTCCCAGGGCCCTATAGAGCCCCGGGAAGCCCAAAAACTGATGGGCCCCGGGAAGCCCAAAAACTGATGGAGCCCCCTCGCATCGAGCGTGTATACACGCTCGATGGGCCCCGGGAGTGTCAGGATGAGGAGCTCGTCCTGGGGAAGGTCCACGAGGGGGGTCCAGGGCCGATCTGACAGGTCCGCTCGGAGCTCCGAGAAGTCCTGCTTGTGCCGCTCTGTTGTTCCCATATCCTTCCCGCAATGCAGGCCGGCCCTTGCGGCCGAGACGTGTGCGGGCTGCAGTTTTGGGCGAGGGCGTTGAGAGGAGGAAGAGATGTCGATACCGCTACGCTGGCCTCGCCTCGCTGGGGCCTTCTTGGGGCCTCATGGGGGGCCCTTGTCGCCGCCGTTGGATTCGCCTCGACGGTCCCTGGTCAGGACGTTCTCACAAGGGAGCCGCGGGATTGGTTCTTGCTGGTTTCCCCGGGCACGTGGGCTGGCACGGTAGGGTTAAGTCGGGCCTGTCCCTCTACAGGGGGAAGATTCAAAAATAGTCCAAAAATAATCTGGGGACGATGTTTTGAGCATTTTTTGGCCATTTTGGGGTATTGTTTGACTATTTTATATTTTTCGTCAAAAATCCCTCTGTAGGAGGACAGGCCCGACCTAAAATTAGTGGACTTTCCCTTGCTCCCCAAAACTCAAAGTTGCCACGCGCGGGGGAGCCTGCGGTCGAAGTGGAACTCATCTGACCCACCGCCAATTTTGAACATTGGGGGGAGGCGGGAGGCGTTGACCTACGAATGTGGCATGCGTGTTCGCTATTTTTGTCAGAGGCCTGTATGTTTAAGCTTCACCACCGGCTTTCTTCCTCCCGGGACTTCGCCACCGAGCTCCTGTCCAAGGTGTATTTTTTCCTGCACATCATCTTCTGCACCGCCTGATCCCAGGGCTTCGCCCTCTCCCGGCCGCCGTGAGGCCCCGCCTTCTTTCGCCTTGTCTCTGCTAATTAAAGCTGTGCGCGTCCCGCTTAGCTTTCAGCGGAGGAGGTTCGCTCTCGCCCCGCATATAAGAAATGTTTAGGCTGGGCGTGTCTCTCTACAGGAGGAATGCTCAAACATATGAAAGATACTCTGGGGACGATGTTTCGATTCTTGTTCGACTATGTGTGAGTACAGCGCCGTTTTTAATAGGTGCTCCGCGTGCGGATCATTCTTAAAAATGCAGGGCTTAATATTTAGTATCCAAAGCAACGATGAGTTCATGCAGTAATTTACTCATACACTAGTCATGTAAAATCCTATGCGTTAAAAACTGCCCTGTATGTTTGGACTATGTCTAATTGTTATTCAAAGATCCGCCTGTAGGAGGACACGCCCGACCTCAGTGTAGGTCTGCTGGCTGCGGCTTCGGGCAGATGGGCGAGAGGACGGGCGGGCCGCGTGTGTCGGGCGGGTGGGCGAGGCTGTGCGGGCTGCAGCGTTCGGCGGGAGGGCGGTGAGTCTGGTGGCTCCAGACGGTGGTCCAGCGACGAGAGGGTGGTGCAATAGACCTGGTCCCTCCCTCCCTCCCTCCCTCCCTCCCTCCCTCCCTCCCTCCCACGGCTTTGGGGCGTGCACTACATTCCGGTGCGCCAATGCGTTTTGCTTGACTCCCGCGCGCAAGACACGAGTTGCAACACAAGGCAATACAATCCCCTGGCGCAGTACATTTGCAAACCGATTGCCCCGATTCTTTTGCACCACCCCCTTTCAGCTGGACCCCCTTTTGGGTCAACTGTGTTTGGGTCGGGGCTTTGGGAAGTGAGAAGGGGCAGCCCTTCTCAGAAATCTCCGGTGTTCCCCAGCCTTCTGAGCAGATATCTAAGCCTCCCCCGAAGGCACAGAACACTTCTCAGACGGCGCGAGGGCTTCTGAGAGGTCCCGCTGCCTTCTGAGAAGGCCTTCTCCTTCTCACTTCCCCCCCTTGCTCGCCGCCCACTTTAGGCGGGTAGGTTGGTTTGTTTGGGTGCAGTTTTAGGCAGGTATCTGAGGGTCTTTGGTTGAAGTGTTAGGCTGTCGGGCGAGTGGGTGACGATGTGTGAGTTGCAGTTCGAAGCCATGTTTTATTAATTGAAGTGTCAGGCGGGCTGGCGGGGATTTTTGAGATGCAGGTTGAGGCAGGAGTTCGAGGATATTGAAGTCTCAATCGGGTGGATGAGAATATCCAGCTGCCTGTGGCAAGTCCCGCCACCGTGCCAGCGCAACACTCTGTATGGCGAAGCTTCGAGCACCGCTCAGAAGGCAGTAACATGTGACACATGTCGTTTCTATTCCTTGAGAAGCTCTTCTGGGGGCTTCCTGGGCCGCCTTGGGACAAGCTTGGGCCATCTTGTGCCCCTGTCGGCCGTCTAGGGAGTGTTTTCGAGCTGTCTTGCGGGCCTCTTACGTCCCTCTTGGGGCCCTCTAGCGCTGCCGTGGGCCCCCTTTGGGGGTCGTCTTGGAACCCCTTTGGGGTTGCTATGGGCTGGCGGGGGGGCTTCTTGAGCCGCTCGTTCAGTTCTTTTTGGCCCATCTGTGGCTCATCCGAGGTCCTCTTGGAACGATTTTGAGCCAAGAGTCCCAGGAATCCCCCCCAGGAATCCCCGCCGCAGGCGGCGCCAGGATGTACAAGCGTCCTCGGAGAAGCGGGGCCAGAAAAAAGCTCGAACCCACCATCCTGCACGCAACACCCGCCATCGTGAAGGCCAGGGGGTGGAGGGTGGAGCTTGGTTCTGTCTAGTTCGGTCGCTGTTGTTGCAAAGTTGTTTTTCCACCGTCCAGTCAACCCGCACGGTAATAAAGGCTGGGCAGCCTTTCCAAGGCTGCCCTTGCATCTTTGCCCCTCGGGTCCATCCTGAGCGACGTTCGCGGGCCAGCCTCGCTCGAAAAACGTTAGAGCATGGCCCTCCAAGGCCCTTGCATCCTCATCGCGCATCCTTACTATACGGTTTGACTGTGCCACGCCCAGATGGCGAACTCCATAATGACGACGCCGTCTGACACGTCTGGGCCCCCCCCGGCTGCGCCTCCGGCGCTGCCCCAGGCGCGCTCCGCGCGCCAGGGAGGGGGGTGTCCAGCGCAGATCCAAGAAATCCGCGCGGAGCGCCCAGAGTGAATGTTCCTGCCGTTCTTCTCCTCCTCGAGAGAATCGGGGGTGGACAGACCTCCTACCCTGACTCGTCGACTAAGGAATTGGCCGCTTTCGGTCCGCGAGAGGGCGTCGCGGCCGTCATTTTTGCGGGTCCAGGTCCGTCGGTTTCGGCCCCAGGCCGTTTTCACTAAGGGGAGGTTTACAGTCGGGGCGCTGAAGAAGGAACCCTTTTCGTTTGGGAGGGGCTCGGTGTTCCTCAAGTGTTTTACATTTTGCTGTGGGTTTTCCTGAGGTGTTCCATGGGAAGTCGAAGTTTAACCTATGGAGAGAAGGGGCCTCGTTCCTGAGGTTTTCCATGGGAAATCGAAGTTTAACCGATGGAGGTTTACTACCCTGACCTTCCAGAGAGCTACTGTTTAGCACTGGAGACCTAAAAACCTAAAGAGCCGAGCGAAGCAGCCCAGAGCCAAGACGCAGAGCAGCTTCGGGATAGGTTCTTCAGTCGGGTGCCATTTTTTAGCCCTCCTGGAAGGTCAGGGCAAAGGGAGGCTTGTCCACCGCCGAGGGCAGCCGGCGGCGCGCCGCCCGCGGCGAGAGGCGCGCCCCACGGGGACCTGCTGCCCTGCCTGCCCCGCGGCCGGCGCCCGAGCGCCGCCGCGGCGCCGGGCGGGGCCGGGGCGCCCCGGGGCGCCGCGCCCCCGGGCGGCGAGGAGCGGCGCGCCCGGCCGCCCACCTCCTCCTCCTCCTCCTCCTCCTCCTCTCCTCCTCCTCCTCCTCCCTCCTCCTCCTCCTCCTCCTCCTCCTCCTCCTCCTCCTCCTCTCTCCTCCTCCTCCTCCTCCTCCTCCTCCTCCTCCTCCTCCTCCTCCTCTTCCTCCTCCTCCTCCTCCTCCTCCTCCTCCTCCTCCTCCTCGCGGAGAGGAGGGCGCGCCCGGCCGCCCATCCCGGGGCTTGGCGGCGCGCACAAGGGGGTTGAGGGGGAGCAGACCCCCCAGACAGCGGGCATCTCGGAGAACTCGAGGCGGAGGTTTTGCTCCGTTGTCGGCCTCCCGGGGCCCTCGCCGGGCTTCGGGACCGTCAAAAAACGACTCGGGATGAAAAGCCGGTCCTGGGGAAGTGGTCGGGAGGTCGGGGGCCCGCGTCTCGAAAAAATCGAGATGTCGGATGTCGGGTCCGGCCGCCCCCCCCGGGGCCTGGCGGCGCGCACAAGTTACCAGCCTGGAGCATATCCCTATCCCTATGCTGGGCATCTCCGCGTCACGATGCCAATCTTAGGGGTTCCCTTGTTTTTTGGGGGCGAATCCCTAAGATTGTCATAGTTTTTTGGCGTGTCAATCTTAGGGATAGGGATGCGTTCGAGGCTGGTAAACAAGTGGGTTTAGGGGGAGCAGACCCAGAGATCCCATTGAAAAGGGGGTTTAGGGGGGCGGAAAAGAGGGGGGTGATGACTAGGGGGGTGGATCTCATGGCGGGGGCCAGGATATCTCCCCGGATCTCAGGGCGCCACTTCTTGCTTCAGTGCATACGTCCCTGGCCCCCCCGCTGGGCCGCGCACATGCCGCCGGTCATGATTTGCACCCCCACTCTTGGACACTCCCCTCTTGGCCGCTCCCGAACAAGGGGGTTTAGGGGGAGCAGACCCAGAGATCCAACGCATTGAAGAGATCAGCTGGGTCTTCGGGCTCTCGGTGCCCCTCCGCCGTGCGGCAAAAGTCCCCCCTCGTTTCGTGGCCCGCGCGGGTCGCCCCGCGCTGCAGAGCCACGGTCTCGCCGTCGCCGTGCTCTGCTGGGCTCAGCGCCCACTGTCTGACAGCTGCAGCTCTGCGGGCAGACAAAAAGTGTTTCGCAGCTTTCGGCCTCTGGATAATTAGGGCCCCTCGCCGGGCCCAGGGACCGTCCAAAAGAAAACGACTCAGGATGAGAGAACGTTCCTTGGGAATGGGCCGAGACTTCCGGGGACCGCGCATGGAAAAAATCACGACGTCGGATCTCTGGGCAGAAGGAGGTTGCGCCTTACATCTACAGGTAAGGCCCGCGCCTTCCAAGAATCGGGGGTGCTTCGAAGAAGCCTTCCCCCCCCCTACCCCCCTCTCTGCGCGCCGCCAAGGGGGGCCCGGATCATTGGATACTGGAACTGTCCAGTCGTGAGCGGCGACGGGATCGGTCGCTGCCGATTTTGCTTCAAAAATTTCGGTATCGGTCGCGGCCGATGTGCTCCAAAAGGTCGGTCGCGACCGACCGGCCGCGAGAAATCGGTCGCGATCGGTGGCGACCCCTCGCGACCGATGCTGGGATGGGCCGCGATCGGTCGCGACCGCTCGGGAGTGGCGAGCGGCCGCTGGCGACCGCGACCGACAAAAGTCTGGTGTCCGAGGATCCGGGCGGGGGGAGCCCAGCCCGCGGGCGCTTCGACACGAAATCGAGGCGGAGGCCTGTCATCGTTCCGCGGCCCTTGCCGAGCCTCGCGAGGGCCGTCCCCAGGAAGCAGCTCGGGAGGAGCGACGGGTCCCAGGGCAGTGGTCGAGAGGTCGGGGGCCCGTGTCTCGAGAGAGCTGGAGCGCCGGATGTCTGGGAGGACGCATTCCCTTGAGATCCGGGCGTTGCACGGCATGTTTTTCACACCAGGAGGTTTACGGGGACGATCGCGACGGATAGCGGGAGGACCGGGTACAAAGTCCAACAGCAGTTGTTCCCCACATGCTTCGTGGGGTTCTGGTTTTCTTCCCTGCCGCGCCGCACCCGCGTCTCACACCTCCCCCACCTCATCCCACCCCACCCTTCTCACACAGCAGAGCACAGCACGGCTCAGCTCAGCACAGCTCAGCACAGCACAGCACAGCTCAGCACAGCACGGAGCTCAGAACAGCACGACACACAGCTCAGCTCAGCTCTTCTCAGCATAGCGCAGCGCAGCACAGCACAGCCAGGGTCGTCCAGGCATAGCAGGCGTGGCATTTTCTCGACACCGGAGGGGGTGCGCAGGGGGTGGTCTCCCTATCCGCGCCAGGGTCGTCCAGGCATAGCAGGCGTGGCATTTCCTCGACACCAGAGGGGGTGCGCAGGGGGTGGTCTCCCTATGCGCGCCAGGGTCGTCCAGACATAGCAGGCGTGGCATTTCCTCGACACCAGAGGGGCTGCGCAGGGGGTGGTCTCCCTATGCGCGCCAGGGTCGTCCAGACATAGCAGGCGTGGCATTTCCTCGACACCAGAGGGGCTGCGCAGGGGGTGGTCTCCCTATGCGCGCCAGGGTCGTCCAGGCGTGGCATTTTCTCGACACCTGCGCACGCCAGGGTCGTCCAGAGCAGGCGTGGCATTTTCTCGACACCAGAGGGGGTGCGCAGGGGGTGGTCTCCCTATGCGCGCCAGGGTCGTCCAGGCATAGCAGGCGTGGCATTTTCTCGACACCAGAGGGGGTGCGCAGGGGTGGTCCCTATGCGTGCCAGGGTCGTCCAGGCATAGCACCAGAGGGGGTGCGCAGGGGGTGGTCTCCCTATGCGCGCCAGGGTCGTCCAGGCATAGCAGGCGTGGCATTTCTTGGTCGACACCAGATGCGCGTGGTCTCCCTATGCAGGGTCGTCCAGGACATAGCAGGCGTGGCATTTTCTCGACACCAGAGGGGTGCGCAGGGGGTGGTCTCCCTATGCGCGCCAGGGTCGTCCAGGCATAGCAGGCGTGGCATTTTCTCGACACCAGAGGGGGTGCGCAGGGGTGGTCTCCCTATCCGCGCCAGGGTCGTCCAGGCATAGCAGGCGTGGCATTTCTCGACACCAGAGGGGGTGCGCAGGGTGGTGCGCCAGGGTCGGGGCCTCGCCAGGGGGTGCGCAGGGGGTGGTCTCCCTAGCCAGGGTCGTCCAGGCATAGCAGGCGTGGCATTTCTCGACACCAGAGGGGGTGCGCAGGGGGTGGTCTCCCTATGCGCGCCAGGGTCGTCCAGGCATAGCAGGCGTGGCATTTTCTCGACACCAGAGGGGGTGCGCAGGGGGTGGTCTCCCTATGCGCGCCAGGGTCGTCCAGGCATAGCAGGCGTGGCATTTTCTCGACACCAGAGGGGGTGCGCAGGGGGTGGTCTCCCTATGCGCGCCAGGGTCGTCCAGGCATAGCAGGCGTGGCATTTCTCGACACCAGAGGGGGTGCGCAGGGGGTGGTCTCCCTATGCGCGCCAGGGTCGTCCAGGCATAGCAGGCGTGGCATTTTCTCGACACCAGAGGGGGTGCGCAGGGGGTGGTCTCCCTATGCGTGCCAGGGTCGTCCAGGCATTGCAGGCGTGGCATTTTCTCGACACCAGAGGGGGTGCGCAGGGGGTGGTCTCCCTATGCGCGCCAGGGTCGTCCAGGCATAGCAGGCGTGGCATTTTCTCGACACCAGAGGGGGTGCGCAGGGGGTGGTCTCCCTATGCGTGCCAGGGTCGTCCAGGCATAGCAGGCGTGGCATTTTCTCGACACCAGAGGGGGTGCGCAGGGGGTGGTCTCCCTATGCGTGCCAGGGTCGTCCAGGCATAGCAGGCGTGGCATTTTCTCGACACCAGAGGGGGTGCGCAGGGGGTGGTCTCCCTATGCGTGCCAGGGTCGTCCAGGCATAGCAGGCGTGGCATTTTCTCGACACCAGAGGGGGTGCGCAGGGGGTGGTGTCAATATGAGTGCCAGGGTCGTCCAAGCATTGCAGGCGTGGCATTTTCTCGACACCAGAGGAGGTGCGCAGGGGGGGGTCTCCCTATGCGTGCCAGGGTCGTCCAGGCATAGCAGGCGTGGCAGTTTCTCGACACCAGAGGGGGTGCGCAGGGGGTGGTCTCCCTATGCGTGCCAGGGTCGTCCAGGCATTGCAGGCGTGGCATTTTCTCGACACCAGAGGGGCTGCGCAGGGGGTGGTCTCCCTGCGTGCCAGGGTCGTCCAGGCATAGCCTCTAGTGCGGGATTGCGTATTACCTCTCGTATCCAAGTGCCAGGCGACGCCGGATATGACCGTCACAGATGACTCCTCAACCCCTCCTCTCCCCCCACACGTCTTCCCCCTCCTTTGAACGACCACAGGGGGCACCTGAGAGCGTGACGGCGGTGGTAGTGGTAGCGCGGTTCACACAAGACATAAAATCAGTATGTGGGGTTCCTCGGTAGTGTAATTTGTTCCTTCTGAGCAGGGTTCGTTGTCGGCGTGGCCGTAGCCGTTGTCCACTTGAGACAGAAGGCCGCCTGCCCAGCAGTGGCCGCTGTCGGCTTGGAACAACATGTGCTGTCTGGCATCGTGCCCATTTTTCCCGTACCCATTTCGGGCGTCCAGACTGTATCGCCGGGCTTCTGGCTTTGGAGCCTTCAGAGGTCGATACGGCTTGAGAGATGTGGCAGGAAGGTGGGGTCTCCAGCTCCTGGCTCCGGTAGGTAGTTATTTTTCACGGTTTGATTGTTTATGTCCTTGCCGCAGCGTCGGATCTCAGGGTCTGCCGCCGCCGCCGACGGCGGGGAAGTGCGTTCGCCGCCGTCCGCCCAGACCATCCAGAGCATTTCAAGGTTCTGTGCGCAGCTTTTCTGTAGGGGCCCTGCGCATCGTAGCAGGAAGACAGTTCTCGGGTTGGGAAGATGGGGCTGGGAGAAGCGAGGGCATCCTTACCCGGAGGCGGCCGAGGGTATCGTTCATGGCATCCGGATGCTGCAGGCCTCGGAAAGAAGTAGCGATCATCCATGCCACATTCATCTGTGAACGCTTCCCCCTCCCCCCAAT